ATATTTAAAATACTATACAAAAACCATATTTAAAAAAACATTAATCATCATCATCATCATCATCTTAGAACTACAGAGCTGGAAGGGACCCTATGGATCATCAAGTGCAGCCCCTGTCAAGGAGGCCCAGTGGGGAACTGAAATCCCAACTTCTGGCTCCACAGCTAGAGACCTAAGCCACTGGGCTATCCAGCAGTTAATTATATTAAACATTAATCAATATTAAAACCAGGATTGAAATCAGTTTTAAAGCATTTTTAAAGTTAAAATATCTAAATTTGATAAATACAGTATTCTCTAGACCCCCCACTTTATTGCTTAAAAGCTTGCCTGAAAAGGAAAGTCTTTCTGGTGACAGAAGGACTCGAGAGAAGGGGCCAACCTGACTTCTTGAGGCAGGATATTCCAAAGCCTGATCAATATTAAAACCAGGATTGAAATCAGTTTTAAAGCATTTTTAAAGTTAAAATATCTAAATTTGATAAATACAGTATTCTCTAGACCCCCCACTTTATTGCTTAAAAGCTTGCCTGAAAAGGAAAGTCTTTCTGGTGACAGAAGGACTCGAGAGAAGGGGCCAACCTGACTTCTTGAGGCAGGATATTCCAAAGCCTGAGTTGAGTTTATGGTTTAGCTTATGGACTTCTTATGTCTGTTGCTGCCAACGTCTGCAGTGCTGTCATGTTGCCACTGCCGCAGTTTAGCTTATGGAGCGACATTTCTCACTTCTTATGTCTGTTGCTGCCAACATCTGCAGTGCTGTCATGTTGCCACTGCCGCCACCATTTTGAGCTCCAAATGTATGTTATGTGTAAAGCTGAAAACCGTATAGCAACATTATAGTATCTGAAGGGAGTTCTGTATCTCTGAACTTGAACAGCATTTCTCACCTGAGTTTTTAAAAAAAGCCAAATTTGCACTGATGGGTATTATTTCTGGCTGGGAATTTGTCTCTGATTCTCACCATATTTATGGCCAGGATAGCAGTTACATCTCCTGTGAGAAGCGTCTTGCTTGCCATAACCTTAAACAGAGTGGTTTGGATCTGAACCTTCCTTCTACCGGTTGTTGAGGGTTTTTTGGGCTCCTTGGCCGTGTTCTGAAGGTTGTTCTTCCTAACGTTTCGCCAGTTTCTGTGGCCGGCATCTTCAGAGGACAGCAACCTGTGCTTCATCATCATTAGATCCCAGCTGTGAAAGCCTTCGTAAATATTTCCTTCTACCAATTAAGATAGGTAAAGGTAAAGGTTCCCCTTGACAATTTTTGTCCAGTCGTGTCCGACTCTAGGGGGCGGCGCTCATCCCGCTCTTCAAGCCATAGAGCCAGCGTTTGTCCGAAGACAATCTTTCCGTGGTCACATGGCCAGTGTGATTTAGACACGGAACGCTGTTTACCTTCCCACCGAGATGGTACCTATTTATCTACTCGCATTTGCATG